AAAAAAAAAAAAAAAACTATATATACGTGTGTGTATATATTAAAATGTTTATAAATTAAAATATGAACAAACCACAAATGATTTAATGAAATAACTTAATCGTTTCGATGACGGTCCGGTTCTGAAAACCTTATATTTACTGTACATTAACAAATATTATAATAAAATATTGTTTTATGCACATAAATATTAATAAAATGATATCTAAATATGCATAATCATTAAACATGTTGTCATAAAAGTAATATTAATAATGATTATTTGAAGTTTGGACTACATCACATTCATGTAATCAAATATTTCCCATATTAAAATTTATATTTAAGTTCAATAATCGATTTGGTATAATCAAACTAATACATAACTTAGTCATGTGGGACCAACTAAGTTGTGTCAAGTTTTTTTACTATTTTAAAGATCACCTAAAAGTAATTCAATCAACTTGGGCAGTACCCTAATTCAATCAGATCCAAAAAATTCCATTATTTTATTTAAATATATTCAATTTTATAAGTAAAATATTTTATGATTCATACAATAAATGTCTACACCAAATGATAGTATATTAGGATTATAAATATATATTTAAAGATGAATTAGTTGTTTTTACCTTATTCATATTAATAAAAAATAAACATAGTCTTTTGCAGACCAATTTATAAATTTGTAAAATACTTTATAATTATATTATTTTTTTATAATGATTAAATTTATAAAATGTGTGATATGGGATACCATATTGGGTCAACCAGACCAACGAAACCAAGCAGCTAGACCATATTTGCCATGCAACTCGAGCCGCGACCATAACCTAAAGGTAATAATCGGGCCGGTGATGACCTTTCGAAAGGAGGAACCGACTACAAGACGAGCTCACATAGATCTCAACCTGAGGGACCAAAAGGCCGAGTCGACCTCATGAGCAATAGATGAGAAGGGGAAGACCTAATGGATGTTCTACTTGATGACGTGGACATGGTCTCAGGGAAAGACAAAAAGGCATCTAACTGAGGCACTACGCCATATGAGTATTGAACCACGTGTCGCAACAGGATTGGGTTGCATGCACACTTGACAAGCCTAACAACCTGAGACACTACATGTCATACGGACAGTCAGTTTGGGCAGTTGGTCAACCCTTTGGGCAAACTTAGAGAGAAGCACCCCTATATAAAGGGGTGTGGCAAGGTAGTTTCCAGATTACATTCTTTAGACACACTTTACATAATAAATTATTGTCCATCATCTCCATCCGTTCGCGGACTTAGTTATCGAAGGCTCTTCGCTGAAAAATTCTCTTTCTGATGTTGAGTTCTTGTAGGTTGGGAGGCCGTCCAAGGTAGAAGAAGGCACTTCCAAGCGTACTAGTTCGAGCGAAGGCCGAGTCAAGTCCGTTTCACTATTAATGTGATATATGCATGTATTACTTATATTTAAAAATTATAACTATATAACTTATAGTTTTTTTTTATCTATGCATGTGCACATGATGAAGTACTAGTTGTCATTAATCAACCACTGTAATAAAGGAATTACCTATATTAATTACTCCAATTAAATGCTTTATAAAGAAGAGTAAATAAAATAGTATTTTATTCGGGTAAAGGTGAAATTGTGATTGCTTATAGTGTCAGAGTGCAATTGCTTGACTATAAGACAATTGATTTGTATGGATTTTACCGTTCAACTTTTTGTAAGTGCACACTTAGGCTATCTTTATTCACGCCACCGGGGGCGGTGGCGTGAGAAACAGACAAAAAAAAAAAATAAAAAAAAA